GAGGTTGCTGTTGAGGCATATTTTGTGACTGCTGCAGAAACGGCAGTGACTGAGGTTGCTGTTGAGGCATATTTTGTGACTGCTGCAGAAACGGCAGTGACTGGGGTTGTTGTTGAGGCACATTTATTGGCTGCTGCAACAACGGCAGTGACAGAGGTTGCTGTTGAGGCATATTTTGTGACTGCTGCGGCAACGGCAGTGACNNAGGTTGCTGTTGAGGCATATTTTGTGACTGCTGCAACAACGGCAGTGACTGGGGTTGCTGTTGAGGCATATTTTGTGACTGCTGCGGCAACGGCAGTGACTGGGGTTGTTGTTGAGGCATATTTTGTGACTGCTGCGGCAACGGCAGTGACTGAGGTTGCTGTTGATGCATATTTTGTTTTGGTGACTGCTGATATAGCACGGCGTTTGCGGCGGAAGCTGGGTCAGTGGTGTACTGCGCCCCTCCGCCCCTTAAAGACGGTGAATCCGCCAACGCACAGCGCAGCCGTTCGATCTCCTGATTTGACCTCGATACCTCCTCCTCCTGCGCACGCGCAGCCATCTGCATCAGTTGGTCCTGTAGGTAGCGCTCCTTCGCCGGGAGGACATAGCCTAGGCCATTCTCCACCATACATACGCCCTCAAACGGCCTCTCCATCACCTGGCTGCTAGCCGCACCACTCCCATTGCCCAGCGGCTGGCACTGCGGCACCTGTGGGCTCTGCGCCGTTACGGGCGAATACTCCGAGGTCGGCACAGCGCCGTGGAGTAGGTTCTCACCACCGCAGTAGAGTCGGCGGTGCACTGCCAGCTGCTGCAGGCTCCCGAGGAACGCGCCACACCCGTCACACACATACATTGGTCCGTGTGGGGGGGGGAACACACAGGAAATGATGCTCAGCACCCACAAGGAAAAAGAAAATGCCTCTACAACGCTATTCCAATCCCTCTAAGGTCTCTCCCTTGCAAAGAAATAAAAAAAAAGAATCAAAAAGAGAGCAATATATATATATATATATATATATAAGCAATGAAGCGCTCACCCTTGTATGTGTGAGGGCATATGAACTGCAAGGCCATTCTTGCGCATACCATTAGACTAGCACTTCAGCATCCTTTACTTTTTCTTTCTTTTTTCCTTTATTCAAACCCCACTTTAATCAGTGTTGTATTATGATCTCGTTGCGGCCTTATCAACCATACGGCCCCATATAGTTCGTCACGCGAACACGCAAGACACAAACACACTAACATCACTGTAGAGATAGAAGACCGCAATACTATTAACAATCCCTACACACTCACAAGGATGTTGTTATACACATATATAGACGCAAATGTGGAAAAAAGTATTCCCCCCCATCCTCCTGCTTATTGCTGCTGCTGCTGCTGCTCAGTGAGTGGTGCGCTCCTGCAGCACGGCCACTTTATCCAGCGTCGTGTGCAGGCGCTCCCGAAGGCGCAGCGCGAGTTCGTCGTGCCGCTGCCGCCAAATCTTCGACACCCAACACGCTGTCTTCTGCGGCAGCTCCACACGTGCTGCAAGTACCTCCGTATCTATGCTACGCACCTCTGCGTCGCTGCTGCTGCTGGCGGTGGCCAGCGTCGGGGGTGCAGTGGCATCCCCGCGGAGAAGATGACAGAGATTGATGCGGACGCTACACGTCCATTCCACCTCAAAGCGCGGCTTCACTCGCCGTCCCTTCGCATCAACGTAGTGACGCAGTGTCTGCCTGTGCTGTACGACTAGCACGGTATCATCACCCCCGTATGTATCCCCACTGCCGCTACTATCGCTCTTGTTGTTATTGTCATTGCAGTGCCGGTGATTGGCATCCTCTGCGTAGACGTGGACGGTCCACGCAATGTCCTGCAGATGTTGACACCACGGGAACTGCAGCACACCGGTCATCCACTGCACGGAGAAAAACACTACCGACTGCACCATATATTGCATCAGACGCAGCGCCTTGCTGTGCACGGTATACTGCACGGTCTCACGAGCCGTTGGGGATATCGCGGTGCCGTAGTTCGGCGGGCCATTGGTTGCTGCTGGTGGTGATGGCGGCGGGCCGTCGTCAGTGGAACCCCGCCTGCCGCTCTTCTTCACCCGCATCATGCCGCTTTCCAGCAGCACCGCAAGCAGCAGCGAGGAGCCGTCCGCAATTTCGACCTCCTCCTCCGCCTTTCCCCACGCCGCGTCCATGGCTGCTGTATCCTCGCCACACAGCTCCATGAGGAGCCCCAACGACTCGTGCACGCGTTGATTCCTCGTTGCGAGCCACTGCTGCCGGGCCGCCGCGTCCCCCACCACCAAAACCTCAATCTGCTGCCACGAGTCGCGGTAGTTGTTGCGTGTGGCGGTGGCGATGTATACAGGCGTGCGCGGAAAGTCGCGCGTTACGGCGACGGGGTCCTTGCCAACTTCCTCCAGCAGCCGCTCACGCCACGCACATTCGTCGGCGCCGCTTGCTTCGCATCCCGCAGACTGCGGCTGCTTTTGCTTGCACATCTCGCCGTCGCGATTGTTGCAGCAGTGGCACGAGGACGCCGAGCCCATTCACCAGATCCTCTCTCTTTTTTTTTCCCTTTTGTTTACTGCACAATGGAGAGAGAGAGAGAGAGAGGAGCAAAGAGAGAGATTGTCGCGACGACAGAGACCGTAGCTGAAGCAGACCGCTCTGTCTGTGTGGACACGACCGCTGACGATGGAGCTTCTGCTGGAAAGTGACGGCAAGAGAATACCACACAACAGCTGAGAGCGGCTGATAGCGAGCAAGAGCACACGGGAAACCAAATACAGCAACGCGAAGGGGATAAAACATATAGACCGGGATGAGGGGACGAGGATCTATTTTCAACGCCGCCGTGCGCACAGCAGACCCACGCCCATCCACCACCCCGGCCGCGGAGCAGCAACACACAGACACACACACACATATGCACGGGGGCAGGCATGTGCATTACTGAAGGGAATACGAATCAAACGAGCAACTGTGGATGAGAGGCATATAGAATGAGATGAGAAACAGTTTGCCATATGATATCGCTGCAAGTTCCCCCTTCTCTCCTCTCATCCCACACTGGAGCGTAGTTCACAGCGTTGCCACACTCCCTCGAGGCGTGCGCGGTTTCCCCCCCCCCACCCTCACAACACCCACATCGGCTCCCCACCTCCCCCCTCGCTG